TCTTTCTGCACCACACTGATATTTCACTAAAGAGAAGTTAAATAACTATAATTTACATGTTCAATAATGAGTGTGAGAAATCAAACAGATGCTGGTCACATGTGATGGTTCTCATGGTGGATTACACCTGTTTACTAGTTTGTTTGCTGCCGATGCCATTTCCCACCAACACCTTAAATTTGTGTAGTTTTAACACAAACTCAGTCTTAAGCCTCTAAGCCTCTCTGGATCATGAAAGACACTTAACTTTAAAGGAGACATATTATGCTCATATTCAGGTTGATAAATTAAATTTGAGTAATCATTTGAAGAGGTTTACATGCTCTAATGTTCAGAAAACACATCACTTTAGCCCAATCCCCTCTGATTGGCCAGCTGTCATTTCCTGGTTTTGTTAAAGGTCCAGTGTGTAAGATTTAGGTGAAAGGGATTCAGAAATTGAATATAAAAGAATCCTAATGATGTTTTCACTAATGTGTAATCATCGAAATTCAAATTGTTGTTTTCTTTACCCTAGAATGGGCCCTTTATATTTAGACAAACTAAGCACTTTTTGAGTTTTTATGATAACAGAAGGCTGCCACAGGTTCTCATTCTTGTTTTGAAGGGGAGGGTAAGGTGAGGGGTATTCAGCTGCAACTTCACCACTAGATGTCATTCAATTTTACACACTGAACCTTTAAGGGTTTGCCAGATTAGCCACTAGCTGTGCATTGTGAGGTCACACCTCATTGCCTTGAAGCGGAAGTATCTGCCGGACAACTGACGAGGTGATCGGGAGAAAGATGGAGATGTAGCTCTGAAAATAGGATGAGTTATGGAAAGACTGGAGGACCGCAGAGGTTGTGATTTCACTGGGAGACAATACCCAGGGCGCAGATGTTGACCGTTTAACAGATGCACAGCTGAGTGTGGCCCCCCTAGAGCACATCAAGGAGGGAGTGTGTCTGTGTAGGAGTGCAGAGCTGCCTGCTTGAGGATATCATTAACTCATACACATCAGCACACATCAGTACTCTGAGGCATTATCTGTGTTTTGTTTAGATGGACAACCTTCAAATCAGGTTTTCCACAGTGGTTTTAAAACTACAGAGGTACTATAGCTACAGCAAATAGGCCTGGTGTTAATTATCAATTAACATTTTGCCAAGGCTGAGTACAGATCTCACCTGCAAAGAGGGAGACATGTAAGACAGCAAGTTAATAAAAGAGCCCGAATGATAGGGATTTTTTGGGGGGTGTTGTCGTGATACCGATATATCAGCCGACATATTGACAATGATATCTTATATGTCGTTAACAAACCCTAATA